TGCTCCCTTTACACAGAGTGCGTGTGATCGCGAAATCGAAAGTGAAAGTAAACAGCGCAAACGCTCATTCAAAAATATTTAAATACACCGCATTCTGAGAACGGCGCCCTGATGCCCAAAATTATATACAATATTAGAATGTTTAAAGGAGTGGGCACGAAAATCACGGGAGCGAAACACATGTTGCGGTCAGAAATTCAGCGGGAGCGGGATTAAGAAAACAGCCAAATCCCGGACATTTTGGGCAAGTAAGAAATCCCGGCCGGTGTTGTGCCGAATTCTGCACCTCTGCCAGATTATGCACCCCCTCATTGAAGTCGCTACCTGAGGGAATCCCAACCCCACCCCTAATCCTAACCCCTCCCCCACACCTACTCCTAAACCTACCAATACTAGGGGGTAAATAATCTGGCAGGGTGCAAATTTCGGCACTACACCGCACGTATTTTTGTAGGTCCAAAAAGAGGACATGTCCGGGGAAAAGAGGACGTATGGTCACCCTAGGCAATAGGTATATTAAATGTTACATTAAAAATACAGATCATGTTTTTAACTCACTGCACTGCAAAATGCAACACAGAAGCTGCAGTGCTTTATATTCCACGAAAAGATTCATTTACACTGCACGAAGCGTCATATATGTATTTACACAGGAATTACAGTTGCAGAAAAAGTCTCATGAAATTACTATTTTAAATATGAAATTATTAACACTGCCTTACCTTGACTGTGTAAAGATGTATTTAACGAAATAATGTGATAACCTTTTTTATGGAAAACCACCAAATATATTACAAAAAAAGAAGTAGACTTACTTTTTTATTTTTTTTATTTTTTATTTTTTTTTACATTTGATCCAGCAAAATCATAATATCTAATTACAAAAGGCTCAGCCTCAACTAACCAATCACAAACATCTGTGGGAAGTCGTGGCCTAATGGTTAGTGAGTCGGACTCATAACCCAAAGGTTGTGGGTTCGAGTCTCATACCGGCAGGGATTGTAGGTGGGGGGAGTGAATGTACAGCGCTCTCTCCCACCTTCAATACCACGACTGAGGTGCCCTTGAGCAAGGCACCGAACCCCCAACTGCTCCCTGGGCGCCGCAGCATAAATGGCTGCCCACTGCTCCGGGTGTTTGTTCACGGTGTGTGTGTTCACTGCTGTGTGTGTGCACTTTGGATTAGTGCAGAGCACTAATTCCGAGTATGGGTCACCATACTTGGCCTCATGTCATGTCACTCACTTTTATCTGTCACAAATAACTACAGAAAAACATTTTGCTTAACAACAAGAAACGCTACATGTAAAACAAGAAGATCCAGTGTTGCCCAGATTTAACAGTACCTTTAGCACTTTTAGCAGCACAACACAGTAAAATTATTTACAGTTTTTAAAATACATTCACTGCGAGTAATTGACAGTCCTTACCCCAGCTTACACACACACACACACACAGACACAGACACAGACAGACACACACACACACACACAGTGTCTCACTTGTACAGTACAAGAAAATAAAATAATGCAGAAGAAAACAGTAATCGCTCCTGGTAAATAGAAGCCTAATTTCTGTGTTTCAACACACAAAATTGGTCAGTAGCCCTAAGAAATATAAGTCTTTTGCTGCCCTGCGCTTTTGTAGGTCACATTTTTAAAAGTTGATGTCGAGCTCCTGAAAAGAGGATTTGTGCCCTGGGGATAAAAGATGGACAAAAACACAATTATTTAAAGTAAATTGGGCCCTTAACACATTAAAATTAATGGAAAATTCTGTGTAATGCTCTCTTGATAATATTATCATACCGACTGCCATTTTGCTTTTGCCTTCTCTGCTTCAAACTTGGCAACCTCTTTCCGGTCATGGACAGAAACAAGAAACTTCCAGATCACAAGGAGCGTAATGCCAATAATGAGGACAGACATGCACACGCCCAGAGCGATCAACGGAGCGTTTGGCGGTTCAGGGCAGTCTGTAGGATAATTATACAAACAATTACACAAACAATTTAAAAAATAAAATGTAACTTTATTCTAAGTTAAACTATATACGTTCATGTATAAAAAAAATTGTCTCACCATAAAGCTTGGGGTTGTAAATGATGCTGCCATGATCACTGTCCACCAAGCTGAAAGACAGTAGACAGTGGTCCTCACTCTGTAAGGTGCACAATGCCGCCCGACTCTCCTCAAAATCTGACAATAAAAATATAATATTTTAACATAAAATCTAAATAGATCCTTTTTATTTTCTTAATACATGGTCTTGAATGATCAAAAAGAAAACAAAGTTTTCTTTAATCAAATATTGAATCTTTAATCAAAAAATAATAGGTCCGCCTCTAAAACTATTTTTTTTTCTGATGACATCACCAAGACCTCTTATAATTTAAACCCCTCCTTCCCAACCACATGTCCTATAATAACCCCTTTTCACAATCCAATCAACTCTTGATGGATAAAATCAGATCCCTTACTACATTTTTGTCCTCAAAATTAAAGCTAATATTTTCCAAATCCCTTTAAATATGTACCATGTCATGCATGTATGATATTACCCCTCTCAAAAATACAGTCTTTTTCATTCCCTTCAGTCTCTTTAGATCTCTTTCATTTGTCTGTCTTGTGTCTTTATCAAAGACAGACAGTGTTTTGTGT